AACCTGATGCATAAAGCAGAATTAGCACCAAGTTTAACAAGGTAGTTCAGTGCTTTGTCTGGTTCAGTACTGAAAATCTCTTTGAACAGACACATCACATTTTCACTGGGAAATCACACCAGTGCCTAAATACACTAAGTGGAATAATTTCTTCTTTATATCTAGTCAGAAAACAGTCTCTTCCAATTCACAACCAGACACCTTCATCTTCTGGGCAGCTTTCCTTGGTACAGGCAGGCTGCTGTTAGTGCCCCAGAGTTGCCCCTGACCTGATGCAGCTGCTTGTTCTCCTGTAACTGTAGGGGCCATCCCTATACATGGAAGAGGCTGCCCTGGAAGGCCTGCCAGCTTCATTTGGCTCTTCACAAGTGCTTTCCATTGCACCCAGCTCAATCAAAGACCTGTGGAGGATGCTGGATTTAATGACATTAATTTGAGGGTTTTTTCTGTTTGGTTGTTTTTTGTTGTTTGTTTGGGTTTTGTGTTTTCCGTTTATTTGTTTTTTTGGCATATTTTAAATCAAAACTTGAACTGGGAAAAAAACATTGTAAGGAACACACATCAGAGAAACATAATTTGAACATATTTAACTGGTAAATGCAAACCAGAATGTACCATTAAAAATAATAATCCATTTTTCTGTTTAGTGGTATGAGTCTGTATTTCTTTTGATATTCTCATTTTTGCTAAGGAAAATAGAAAACAATTAATTTAGCACTGGCTGAGACATTTTTATTTGGCTGTTATCCTCTTTGGCCAGGTCTGTTTGCATGATTATTTCAAAGTGATTTGAGTTCTGAAACATTGAAAATGAGCCTGTTTTATCTGTGCCTTTCACTGCTTTCTGCAAATCTGGAAATGTGTTTTTGATAGGGAGAGGATCAGCTCCAAATCGTAAAACTAAATAACCCTTCAAACTTTAGGGAATTCAAGCTGCCAACCAGACTTCAATCGTGAGTTTGGTAAATGTCAACACCCTTCCTTGGGCAGTGAAGCAGAGTGAAGGAAGAAGTGTTAAATAGGATGGGGAGCTGCCTTAATTACATGAATATTTTTTTATTTTTTTTTCCAGGAGATATTTAATTCAGGAGCACTTGGTTATTTCAAATCTTGTGACCCTACTTAGCTTTCTAAGCTGGTGCTTTGATTAGATGGAGAGAAGCTAAAAGACAGCTGCTGATGAAGCAGCATGGATGTGATGTGACTACAAAAATGACACATAATTGTCCCATTGTCATTCATAATTTATAAGAATCTAGAATTCTACAAATATTTTTTGAGATAGTGACTTAATCTAAAAAGAATTGACAGTTCAAATTATATTTGTGAATGGCTCCTCAACTGGTTTGGAATTATGGGTTTATTTATCAACATTAATTGTATTAAATTGCCTGCAGTGAGATATAAGCCCTTTGAGAAAAAACTATTCTTGTCCTGCTGGCTTTAGCAGTGTTCAGACAGACTTTGCTTTAAAGTAGCATAAAGGTAAGTGTAAACACATTGTGAATATGAAACATTTCCAGGGAGTGCTGAGAAGGGGCAGTGTTTGGTCTGGAAGGGGAATTTTGCTGCCAGACATCCCAGGTGAAGAGCAGAGCCCCAGGCAGAGCGTGACACTGTGGAGCAGGGGCTGGGTCAGGTGCAGAGGGGATTTGGAACCCGTGGGGACAGCAGGGTGGGTGGCACCCTGCGAGCCCCGTCCCCAGGAAAGGGCAGAGCAGGGCAGGGCACCCAGCGAGAGAAACAGCAGCATCAGGACAGTGCAGGCACAGCTCTTCAGGAAACTGGGTGCCCACAAATCCACTGCCTGGAAAGAGGGACATTGATGGGACAGGGTGACTCCATGGATCAGCATTTGCAGTCCTCCCTATTTGCTACTGATACTGTAAATCTTGTGCAGTTTATGTGGAATCAATAACTTGATGTTTCTAACTTAGTTGTGCTCTTACATACAATTTCTTCTAAAATATCTTGGCTTTGTTTTGCTTTCTTGCTACAAGTAAAATCTTACTTTCTGTATTTCATGGTCATCTTTACACTGTGCTCAGTGAACAGAAATAATCCCCAAACTACAGCATTTTGGTCCTTCTTGGTTACTATCTGAGAAAGCTGAGGGCATGGGCTGTGTTACTGGTACAAAGATTGGAAATGTGAGAAGGAAATAGCCTTTCAGATAAATTAGCCTTGCCATAGTTGTGGTTGTAAAGATGGCTAAGGTGACCTGAATAATAAATTTTTACTCAGTCTCTAACAGAGTGTAACCTTTCAGCAAGCAATTCAGATATTGCTAAGCAGAGATGCTGAACTGATCCAGCAATACACTCTTTGGGTAGAGCTTCACCTCACTGCCTGCTTGTCACATGGCTCGTATTGCCAAAGGGTAGGGCACAGCCCGAATAACCCCCTGGAGCCACACTGGGGAGCCGCTGTCCCAGCCTGTGCCCTGGAGCTGTGGCTGAATGTGCCAGTGAGAACCTGCCCAGCCCCGATACCTTCTGACCACCCTTGGCAGCCACTGTGGGCTACTGCAATGTTATGTGGCTAGATATGCTTTTAATCCAAGACTATGATTGCTGTGATTTAACTAAGTATTTTTATTACTCAAGGCCATTTTTTACACTGTAAAAGACTTTGTGCAGGAAATTTATATTTTCAGGGCAGTTACCAGCATTTCCTGCATACATGTTCATATGTTACTGCCAGGAATTTCATTACCTCAATGTCAATTTACACTAATTGATTCCATCGTGTAGATGAGCATCTTATTTCATAATGCCACGCCAAGGGTCAGTTCATTCAGACAACCTGATGCCGTGAGAACATCTTGAGGATTATATATATGTACATGACGTCTTGTGCACTTACTGGTCGGAGGACACTTCCAAGGGACACTGTAGCATAAAATGTCTGGCAGAGGTGAAGGCAGGCTGCAGAATGGAGTTTATGAAAAAATCATTAAATAAGGTCAATAGCTACTTGCCACACAAAAATCAATGGGTAATGCTCACTGATGTAATCCCTCTCCATCTCCTACAATTTTCATATTTAATATAGCAATTAAACCACATGGCCAAAAGTCTTCACTCCTACAAAAAATACAGTTCCATGGTTTCATCATACCATGTATGCCTTCTTTTCTGTCCATAACTTTCCCTTTCTCATATTTCAAAAGCTCCCCTAAAAAAATAATTCACTCTAGCTCCTAGCAATTCCTGTCTGAAGTACTGAACAGCAGCTCTTAGAGGAGTGCTGTGAATTGTGCAAGAAATGGCTCTGTAAGCGCAGAAGAAACAACAGGAGACAAATCTACCTTAAAAACACAACATAATTTAGAAACAAATGTGCATTCACGTGCAGTTAGGTGAAATAATATTTAAAGTGTTTGTTTTACTTAAGGGTGCTCCTAAAGAGGAGCTGCTAAGAGCTTGGTAGTAGCTGAGCACCTTCATGTATCACATTCTTAATTGGAAATGGCTGGATTATTGTAGGGCACACATGCAGGAACTGTGGCTTTGGAGCATTAATGTATTTCCTTGGTTTATGTCAGAACAACAGTTTCCCAGGAGACTGTGTGCTGTCATTTGTGTGGAAGAAAGAGAGAGAGGAGCCCAGAGCCCAGCAGAGAGTGATGAGTTCTTGTTAGAAGTGGAGCTGGTTGTTGTACAGACATTGTAAGATACTGTTGTCAGCTATTTGTTACTTTGTGCAACTGGAATAATTTATGTTGAGATTTTTTTCAAACTATGTATTTGGAAAAAAAAATCTATCCTGTATTTTGGATAGGTATGGTGTGGACATTGACAGTGAGGTGTAGAAACTTCTGGATGAAGAGACACTAGGCCCAAAACTCTTGGACTTACACCATCATCAATTCTTCTTATTCACAATTAGCAGTAATCTGGATTTCCTTTTTGAAAGCTGTCCCCGTACAAGTGTTATGGCTTGCAGGGTGCACATTGGGGTGTTTGATTATCTAGCAGTGATTATGTAAAGCAGCTGGGGTGTCATGTCTCCTCATCACAGAGAGGAAGTGATATAAAAGGGAACTCTTTTTCCTGACAGTTAGAAATAGTTATCAGAGCTATGTATGATCTTTAATGAAATAAAAAATATTTTTATGCAGTGGCAGTAATGGCATCAGAAAATAGACTAATTCAGGCCTACATTTTGTTCAAATCATGCATTTTTGATCAATAGTTATGTTCCCACATTTTTTGTAATAAACTGGGGGACCCCAAGACTAATCTTGCACATTTGCTCTTTAGGTTCTTTGAAAATAACAACTCTTCCTCTCTGGTCTTTCTGTCATCTTTTTATCTTGATGTTGTTTCCTTTTCTAGTTTGAATTCTATCACACCAAGGCAGAGCTGAGAAGATGGGATCAGGCCCTTTCATTGAAGTCTGCTTCCTTGTACTGAACATGAGACAGGGAAATAACTGTAATTTGATTCATGTTCATAAAGTCTACTTCACTTGTTGGCTGAAACCAGCCAGCAGTAGATACTTCATAGCTTTCCTCAAACCAAACACTTGATATAACCAAAACCAGGATATTTCAACTTCCAAATATCCTGTGATAGGTATTCACCCTTTTCATCCAGCCCCTCATGGTATTTGGAGGCCAAAAGAACACATTCTCCATGTAAGAAATTATCCAGTGTTGTCACAGCTTTGGTGCCAGCAGTATCCTCTCTGTCAGGACAGAGGCTCTGCCAGGCTCTCTTTGCCTCAGGACAGCTTTGCAATCGTGTTCAACACAAACTTCAGCAAGGCTTACCAGGGAGAAAAAAGAAGCAAATACTGTTCAGAACCTTTATTCAAGGAAGAGAATATCTCTGTTGTAAATACACCACCACATGACTTGAACAAAGAGGTTTGTGAAAAAAGGAGCAACTATGGGCATTAAACTTGCCCTTACTTTGGTTTTCTGTTTCTTCCTCCACAAAAAAATACCTGATGCATGAAAAACGCAACCTTAACCATGACTTCTGTATTTTCAGGGATTAAGCATCTGAAGAGTCAGAGCGACTCAGTGTTTCCAGAGGAAGAAGAGGGACTTGGTGAGCGGGAAGAGGAGTGGGGCCATTAGCCCGCGCAGAGCTGCCCCAGCCCGCCCTGGATCACCGCCCTGCCCTCGGAGCTCTGCAGGCACTGCACTCCTGTCCAGCCACCCTTCTTCCCGGAGACAAAACTGTTCTTTGAAAGTCTTTTTTTTCTTTTATTTTCTATGACTTAGAAATGTAATTTGCAAATGTGTTAGCTCCCTGACGTCAGTACTGCCAGAGCTTTACTACTGCGTGTGAGCTGTATCTAAGGCTTGTTGTAAATAAAAGTGATTTAAAAAGTACAAAATAAATAATACACTAATTTAGACAAGATTGTCTATTGTACAGAGGGTTTGTCTTGCTACAGAGAGATGCTCATATAAAATGATCCTTTTGGTTAAGGACAGTTTTAACCCTTGTTGGTAGAGTTACATGCAGTGTGTGGATAGAAAAAAGGTAGTGAAGCAAGCAGAGGTGACTCTGCCTAAAGAACTATACAAAGACATTCTTCCCTGTGTTCTCTGGATATGTGACACTCAAATATTGCCTTGTTTTTGGTCTGAGGTTGCCTTGTCACAGCAGCCAGAACAATTTCTCTCTACACAAGATCATTGCTATCTGGAGGCATTAAAACATATTTCAGTGTGGGAGTGAGGAGCACAGGCATGTGCAAGGCCTGGGAGCAGGGTCCCAGCCCCAGCTGAGCCATGGGAAGTGCCACATCCCCCTTTGTCACCTGCAGACAGGACAGGTCACAGCCTACCTGCCCTGCACTTGGCTCCGTCTGAGCCAGTGAGCAACAGCACTGCAAGCTGCACAAATCCACCTTGTGAATAACTCCCAGGGTTTTGGCTGAAATCAGCATGGTTCAGACTATCCTTTTTATTTTTCAGACCATGCAAACTCTATGGCATAAAACAGAATAAGGTGGAGAAGGAAAACTATGTTTCTTCAAAGTGACACTTAAGAGATTATTTTGATTTTTCAATCAATGGCAGATTATTAAATGAATTCACTGTCATTTTGTATTAACTGTTTGATACAAAAGTTTTACACTCACTTTAACATTACACTGGTGCAAGTCTTTTTTAAAGTGTTGAGCTAGCAAAAAAACCCAACCAAACAAAAAACCAAAAAAGAAAAAAAAAATATTAAATGTAGGAAAACACAGAGCCTTTTGTCTATGCCTTGCATGGTGATTTCAATGTCAATCTGAGGTCTTCCACGACGACCTACTGAGAACAGAATCTGTTGACTAGTGTTTCTTTATAATTAAGAGCCATTTTTTTCCTCCACCTGTATCCCTATATCCTGTCCTCTTTGGTTCCATTTTCTGTAGAAACACTGCAGACAGGGTGCATGACTCCAGCTCAATAAGGCTGTGCAAGAAGAACTAAAGAAGGAGTCTGCAATTATACAGGACCTGCTACAGGACTTACAGGACTGAGAGCCTTTTATGTCTCAAACAACAAAAAGAAGGAAATGACCCTTCAGACACTGTCTGAATGGCCCAGGTCAGATCTGGAATGGCAGCAAGAAGAGCTGGGCTCTGGTCCCAGCTTTGCCATGGCTTTTGGCTTTGCTTTCACACCGCACCAGGCTCTTCACAAAATTGCTCGTTGCCAGAGTACTCCTAAGCTGTGTATCAGCCTTTGGTGTTTAACCTCACACCATCTCTCTGAGTTGCTAGCTAATAAAGCACTTTGGATATTAATGGCTTTTTGCTGGTTATTAGTACCCACAGGCTGCAATGAGAACTGTCTAGGACCTGTGAGCAAATGAAAGCGTGGACATGATTTACAACACTGGATACCAGGACAAGGTATTGAACACTGTGGAATCTCAGTATTTCAAAGGCAACACACAAAGCACCTGATAGGAGCTTGGAGAATCCATCACTGAACATGCTGTTTCAGGCTGACTGTTGGCTTGAGTGTAATTACACTTCATAAATAATAGGGGAAAAAAACCCCACTCAGATTTAGTGTAGACTGTATTTGACTTCCAATATGGTATATGTTGTTTATTCTCCAGGTGCAAAATCAGATAATACTTAAGTAGATATTAAGAGTCAAGATTTAAAACTCCTTCTAAAGCATTCTAAAGTATGCTTTCTAAAGCATCCTTTCCACTGAAGTCAGAGGAATTTTACTTGAGAAAGACCATAGGTTTTGGCTGAAACATACTTTCCTTTGGGGAAATATGATGTGGAGTGTACAGGAAAGCTTCTATTATCCTGCTATCAATTTAATTACTGGATTTCTTGTGTCTTTGTTTTTTAAGATTGCTATAAATTCTGTTGACATCTTCAAGGGATTACCCACTGTCTTCTCATAGCACCATTATTTCTCCCCAGTAATGTAAACTGAAAAATCACCATTAGTTCTTGCACTGTTGGTGTTATTTTACCAAAAGTGTAACATCCAACACTGACTCTGAGGCAGGGCTGCAGGAGAGATTGTATTGCCTGTGCTTGGGTGAGGGCCATTCATGGTGTCCAAGGTCCAGGCAGTCAGTAAGGAAGGAACTTCCAGTTCATCTGCACTTCCTGTAAAATCAAGGGCCAGGCTGGTGGTGGTTTTCACTCTTAAAAAAAAAAAGCATTTCTTTCACCATAGAAGGTGAAGCATTGGGTGGCTCTCTCCAGAGATGGCCTGGTAGGCTGTGGTGCTTGGGGGAGAACCCAACAGGGCTCCTGCAGCCTGCAGGTCTGCTTTTGTACAGCTGGCACTATACAACAATATGTCCTGCTTGTTGCAGGGCTCCCCTCCTCATTTCTTTTCTCTTGAGACAAGTTTTCTATTTTTTTCATGAGGGACCTTATTCCTGCAGAAAATAAGTCATTGTCTGTCCACTAACCCTGGGGGGACAATGTAAGGGCACATTTAAAACATGCTGTCCCTCAAACTCCCTTTTCTTCCTCTCCTATTTCATCCATGTTAGTACCCAGGCCCACAGATGTTCTTTTTTCCTTCTTTTTATTATTTTTTCTATAGCAGTTCAGTGCAAGAGTGAGCTCCAGAAAGAGGCTCAGTTGTTCTGTTGATTCCTGACATGTGCAATTACATTTAACCTTTTCATGCGCAGCATTATACTTGGCAACTGAGTGGATGCTAAATGCCTTCTGCTTTGCCGTGTTCTCTCCTTTATCCTCCAGTGAGGATAGCAGCACTTGGAGCAAACCTCAAGCAAGATGTTTGTGCACCCTCTGCTAAACCTCAGGCTGTTTCATCAAGTGGGCTGATGGAGTTTATACAAGTTCAGTGTCTATATTCTGCTATAGATTTTCTGTGGTTTTTATTAAATAACCTCGGGGGTTAAGACAGAAAAATGATTTGGTATTTCTGATAGGCCATACACACTCTTTCAATTTTTTAACATTTCATTTGCCTAGTATATACTGACCCTTAGTGGTAAACTGAGATTTTAATTGCATTTCCAAGTTTCTAAATTTTGCATTTCTCTTTGGCCCAACTGTTCAGAAAATAGCAGGATTATTTGCTGTGCAGCAGGATAGTCTATCTATGTAAATAGCCCACAATGTCTTCAACAGACATTAACAGGCATGTGAAAATAATGATGACAGGTGTTATTAACTCTTCTGAAGGGAGGGTTGTGGGAAGCAGGAGTGTCGAAAGGTTATTCCAAAATGCAAAACAAAAACGCTGGCATTGAGAAGCAATACTCTCCACATAATGAGAAACAAATAAGAACTCAGTATCTGGCACTAACGAACACCTCAAGCTAACTGTGGAATGAGTATTAATTAGGTTTCCAAAATAGCATCTTTCTGAAAAGCAGCTGAGGTGTAATATTGCTCCTTATTAATCAAAGCAATGGGACAATGTGAACTCTGCAAAAAATAAATGGTTTGCAGATGGCTGTGTGCATCTTTAATAATGACAGAAGAACACAAGTTACAGCTTTAAATGCCAGGGACCCTTTCTGCATCTCCTCCTTTTCAGAGAGCGATATTTGCAGTTTTCAAGGCAGTGAGGAAAGTGTGTTGGTTTCTTATTACATTTTCCCTGCAGCATAAATTCTGTTGATGTGCTTCCCTAATCATTCTAATTATACTGCCATATGTTGCTCTCATCTTTCTTTTTCTCTCCTAATGGGACATAGATTCTCTCTTTTGAATATGTCATTTGTTTATTACATTTATCAAGGGTTTTAACATTATATGGGACTTTTAATTGCTTTTTTAAACACTCAGCAGATTGAATATTAAAAGCAGACATGAAGGTCAACTATAAATAATATTTAAATTGCTCATGACATTTTTATTCTCTAATTTACTGGAAATATCAACTCTGTAGTCATGGTCCTGTATCTACTATTTACTTGAAACCACACACATGTCCTCCAGAGCTACTCTGGCTGCAGCCACAGTTCTGCCCTACCCCAAACCACCTTGTGCCTAGCAGAATAGGAGTCTTCCCTAGATGGGAACACTAAAATTAAGATGCATCATGCACGGTATTAAAATTTTTGACCCAAATAGTCTGCCATTAATTCCAGTTGTGAACTACTGCTGAACCCCATACAATAAAGGTGAATGTTCATTTCTGACAAGTAAGAAAAATACAGCTCACTCAAAGTCGAGCAGTCTCAAAGATAAGGAAGCACAATTTCAATAAAAGAATTCAAGATGGCCTAAAGTTAAACATGTGCTTTGCTCAGAGTACCCTGCACTGCAGAAAAAAAATCAGTGAGCCAGCTGAATGCAGAGAAAGCAAGAGACAACCAATTACTATCCAATTAACAAATTAATTTCTGGTATAATGACACCATCTCTCTTAGCTTCCATAGAAATGCATCATAGGTGAATTTGACCCTTTGGCTCATTTAATTTTGATTGAGATAATCATATCAGGCTTTATACAAATAATTAGCCAATACTTTCATGTAACTTGATGTTTATTCATGGTGTTATGATACGAGTCCCACAGTCTTTCTTGCAGGTTCAGGAGCATTGCTTGTAGGTGCACCAGCATTTGGTCCTCTGTGATGATGAGACAGCTTTAAAACTACAGTACAAATAAAAATGAAGAAACTTCTATTCTGCTTAAGTGTTCCACATTAAAGCCAAGACTGCACTTACCATTTTGATTTTTACCCCCTTATTTGGCTACAACTTTGTTACTTCTGGTTTGTAGTAATGACCTATACAGGATGTTGCAAATGCTTGAAACTCAACAGCTTTAAAGTTCATATACTATGCAACCTGTCAGAATAGCTGATTTTGGTAAAATATTATCTGTCCAAGTTCAGCTAATGAATGTAAAGTTCCCCAACAATTCTCCACTCAAAGGCCATAAGCAAAGGACT